TCCTACAGTATTTTTACAGTCTTTATTTTACAGTTAAAATAAATGTTTATTAAATAAAGTCTAACGTTACAACTAATCATGGATCCCTTTAAACGATAATGATGTGCTTCCTTTTTGAAATTCAGCATGTTGTAAAAAATTAACCCTTCATTTTATGGAAACTCTTAAAATAAGGAAAAACTCAGGTTTTTAAGAAAATGGCCGCTTATCAGTTAGTCATTAGTTGATCGATAAGATCAATCAGCTTTAGATTAATCCATTAATCAATAACTTCCATCCCTAATCTTATTGTTACCTAAATGAAATGTAGAAAAGTAAATATTTTATGATGTAAACATGATTATAAAGGGTTAATATCTGCTGAAGTTTTGAACATTTATCAAAGTTTTGTCATGTTTCTGCAGGACTGTCTGCACATTGTGGACTCTGTGAACCTGCCCAGCCCGGACCCTCAGTACCTGCAGGACCTCATCAAACAGAGACACTGGGGGGAGGCTGTGTTGATAGTGGATGCGTGAGTATCTGCATCCTGTAAAACTTGACCAGTTTCTCAGTGTCACTGTTGAAGTTTATTTTTTATTTTTTGCTCTTAGGTGTGAAATGTTCCCTGAAAACATCCTTCTGGCTACAGAAAACTTACAGAAGGTGAACATCATTCCTGCCATCGGTGAGTTAATTCAAATCTTTTTTACTTTTCTTACACACGCTGAATTTGCCAGAAAGGTTTATTAAAATTAATACTAAGACTAGTTATGTGGCCTTACATTCAACTAGTATGTTTAATTCATTATGTAGCTCCCAGTTTTAAGAACAACAAAACCCTGAATTATCTGCAGCTCAGTGTCTGAGTGCAGCCTACACCAAGGCTGGTTCTGCTGCTACGTTTCAGTTTGAAGGACATTTAACTGAATTTAAGATCCAGGCTTGTATTTTACTCTTTCTGATAATAGGGTTTAAAGGAGACCAGTTATGGGTCCTAGAAATGTTTATGGTGTGTCTGTGGGCTATCCAGACCATGTTCATTCTATTTAATGCACAAAATAATTCTCAGATAATAAAATTTCCCATTTTCTAGTTCTGCTGCTCTGACTTCTGTTCAGAAGAGCTGT